ATATCTCTATGAAATTCAACTAAATGAAAATAAATGTTATTAATCAGATATTAGTACATATGCTGAATAAAATATGAATATATATCTTAGACTTTAATAATAACAATAATAAATATAATGGCCACAAGCCAGGTGTGGTGGTGCACACCTTTAATCCCAAAACACAGGAGGTAGAGGCAGGCAGATCTCTATGAGTTCAAGGCCATCCTGGTCTATAAAGCAAGTTCCAGGACAGCCAGGAACACTGTCTTGATAATCTACAAAGAAAAAAAAGTAGTAGTCACAACTTAAGTAGTTCTATCCAGAGGCCAGATTCTCTATATATAAACATATAATGAAGTAATACCACCAGTACTTATTTGACATGCTTTCATCCTCACTAAGAATTAAATTACATTTATTATTTACCAGGTACTTTCCTAAGTGTATTACATGTACACTCTCGATTTCTTATGAGAGTGTCAATATTAATAGCTATGGATATTAATACCTAAAGGGAAGTTTAAGTAGCCCCAAGCTTCACATCCTTCCAGAAAAGATTACAGCATGGAGGAGGGGAAAGTACTCTATGCATAGTCCTCAGACAGCTTTGCTTAAAGCCTACAGCTAGCACTGAGCCCCATGTCCTTTGACTATGAGATCCCAGAAAAGGGGGACACCGATGATGTGCCAGCAAGGTGGAGTGCACGGAAAGTGCTTTAGTGTATGTAGCACAATATTTCTAACCATTGTTTCCTAACAAGCTTCTCTGACATGGTACCCAAATTATTTCAAAGATTCTATGGTTCTCCTGGCCTATGCTAGGGCCAGGTGGTCTATGTCTAAGTTTCCTAATGAGTTTGTAGAACTTTGCTATGCTAGAGAACCATAAGAATTCCCAGATCACCCTTGTATGAAGTATTCCTCCTGATTCCTTTTTATTTACTTTCATTCCTGAACTTCAGAGACAGATGTGGATGCTATTGTGCTTCTGCAACACTCTGAATCCTGGCAACTTGTGGGTATCATCAGTCCTCAGTATGGTGTTGGGTAGAGAAGATGTCAATCCTTGCTGCCAGAGTAAGATAACTTCATGTTGGGAATGGTACTTTTAGTGGGTGGGATAGGCTTAGACCTAGTTCATTGTTATGTTGCTGGTGCACATAGGACTATCATAATGAACTTGTTACTCAGAGGGAGCATGAAAGTCAATTTTTGCTAGAGTGGCAGCATCTTAGAAAACTGTACTGGTTTTGAACTGTATTTCACATAAAATATGTCATTTGAAAACTTAGGTCAACAACCCAACCACATATTTTGCTTATCAGTTACAGATTTGTTTTTTTTTTCTTTTTTTAATTAGTAGAGACAAACTTGACCTGCTTCCCAGGGAATCTTTGAAATCCTGGGTTCAAGTGATCCTCCTGCTTCATCCTTTGATGTAAGTGCCGGTGAAACGAAAAGTATGTGCCTCTACAAACCACTGGATAAAATGTTTTCCTGACTTCTGGACAATATATACTATTTCTTTGTTTCTCAATGTTATCCACCATCAATCCCAAGCAGCCTGTGATTTTGGTGTTTCTCCTTGGTCAATGTACTTTTGGGTGGCATTCAACATTGGATGTGAAAGTAGTTGGAAGGAAGAGACATCGTCAAACTCCTCCACATGAAACTAACTGTCCTTTTATGTAGAGATGTGAAAATAAGAGACGAAAAAGATAAAATACGGTTTCCGAGATAGCCAACCTTTGCAAGATTGTGGCCAGATATTCCCAACCACCCTGTCTCGTCCAACACTGTCAAAAGAGAATAGGCACTGATAAACATGCTTGCTACAATGTAAGTCCAGAAGTACTGCCATTTATAGTATAGGCAGCATACCCAAGTCTGGGAGGAAAAGAATGTGAGTTCAATTTATTCAATTCAATAGATCACAGTTGGTTACAAAGGACATTGTAAATTATATGGCATTTGGGAGAACACTAGTGAGAAGGCAGATGGGTGCGGTTGGAAAGGGTACTGGGAGGGAGATAATGCTATATTCACTGGAAAGATCCATTGGATATAGGCTTTCCAGATTGGATATTTCTCAGCTGTTGTCTCTAGCTCTCCTCTTTAGGAACATTAGTTTGGAACCAAATTAAAATACAACTTCCATTCATTGACATGGTGTATTGAACAGGAAATGATCTTGAAGTCTGTTCTGACCCATCTCCCTCATTTTAATAAGAAATGATGTTCAGAAAGCAGTGGAAAATACCCAGTTTTCTGTAGAAACAATTTTATGGACTGCAGGTGTTTGCTTTTCTTTGGCAGACATTATATGTAACACTGTATATGATTCCTTCAGGCTGACAGAAATCTAATAATAACCTAAGAAATCTTCACTGTACTTTTCTGATTTTTATACCAACCTTACATTCCACCATTCCCATATGGAGGGCTAAGAGAGTTCATTATGGCATATATTGAGTTTGAGAAGTCTATTAGGCTATCTAGTCCATAGGTACATTTTGATTATATAAATCTTGAGATAAAAAGGAAGTTCAGACCTGAAATTTTATCTGTGACAGTCCTCAAAAATCAGCACATGACTTAAAGAAATTGTAGAAGAGCAAAGTAAAGTTAGAGACATGAGGACTGAGGATTGAGTTCTCAGCTACCATTTCATCAGTAGCCAAGGCAGAGAGAATTACAAAGTTCAACAAGGTGAGTCTGGGGTCAAGGTAAATCCAAAACACAGCCATGGAAACCATGATATGGGAGGGTTTCTAGAAGATGTGATAACAGTCTGTGTCACATGCTGTAAGTCGAGTTAGATGTGAGCTGAGAACTGACCGTAGGAGTCAGCAACTTAGAGCCACCCATGACCTTAAGTGTTGTTTTAATGCGATGACAGAAAGAAAAGCTGGGCTGTAGTAAGCAAAGGAGAATAGGAGAACGTGCTTGGAGAAAGAAAATCTAGTAAGGAGGTCCACCGTAAAACTGAGTAGAGAGAGGAATTCATCAGTAGCTACGGGGAGAAATGTTGAATGAAATCCTTGTTATGGATTTGATTTGTAATAGAGATTGCAAGTAATAATGGTGGGTTTGATCACTAGATTGAATATATTTACAGCAAGAGGAAAGGGAATAGACAAGTGTTAGAGACAAGCAGCAACGCCCTTGAATACATGAGTTAAAAGAGAATACAGAGCTAGCCCACAAGATAAGGAAATGGCCAATTGATGAAAGAGTTAATCTCTCTAGGAAATGGGAAGGCAGAAACAGTCTCTAGGACAAGAAGAGAAAGAATATATACCATGAGTGCTGGCCTGCTTCATGGGTATGATGAAGGTTTCTATCATTGAAGAATTTTGAAATATGTTGTGAGGAGGCAATAGTAAGGGAAATTTATGATACAAATGTCCACTTACCTCTAGTGTGAATCACAGGAAAGTTTTAAAAGTTCTTCCCAATCTCTTCCCGAAAATAATTAAATATGCAGTTATTTTAATATCATATTTTATACTTATTAATGGAATTGTCTTTTCTCAGGAAATAAAATAACATCATACAATTTTAGTATTATTTCACAGAAGTTCCATGTTTTACCTTCAACATATTTGCATTTTTGCCATTACTATTTATACTGCAGTGACAACAAGCAGCTCACTTGTATACAGCTACATTAATGGACTTTCAACCCAAAATCAAGCCCTGTGGGGAGCAGAAGAAGCCTTGAATGAATGTGTAAAGAATGAGTGAAGTCCTGAGTGAGTTTGCATTGTTTGACATGAGCCAACAGTGTCAAGGATTAAGGGCTCAGACTCATGGGAATTTGGTAATACCTTTCTTTTGAGCCAGGGTCAGAAAGGCAAAGCCTTTATCAAGTCTGTGTACCAGTGTTTAGAAACAATTGGCCAGTGTGAACAAAAACTGAAAACCACAGACAATTTCCTCCTCCTCATTCTTATGGCCTGAGACTGTTAGCCTATAGAAACCTCCTACAGAGACTAATTCCTCCCTCCTGGTGATGTACATGATAAACCAGCTGAGGCTTCAGGCTGCTTTGGTAGTTGGTTCCACTCCATAACACTGTCTACCACCCACCTGACCACAGCTTTTTTGGGTATGTGTCTATCATTTCTTTACTATGCATTCTTTCTTCATTATCAGGTGTCAATTCTCAACCTCACTAGACACAGTGAAGTCTGTGTAGTTTTGTATTTTAATTAATATGAAAAATATGAATATACCGTTTACAAAATAAATGTACTGTTTAACAGCAACAATGCCAGAAGCAAGAATCTTACCTTATTTTCCCATTGTTGTGACAAGAGCAACTTGATGGAGAATTTATTTGCTGTATGCATGATTCCAGACTTCGGTCCATCACACCATGGATGTAACAGCCATGTGAGCTTGACAGAACTTGTCAGGTCACATGCATAATCAGGAACAGAGAGCAATGATGAATGGGCATTAGTGCTCAGTTCTCTTTCTCCAGACCAGTTCACATGCTCAGGTAATTGTCCCCCTCATAATTAATGTGGATCTTACCACTCAATTAAAATAATCAAGAAAATTCCCAACAATTATGCATAGACATCTATCTCCCAGACAATATCAGATTATGTGGAGTTGACAATTAACAGTAAACATCACAATAATAAAAAATATTTTAGTTTCCCATGTACTAAGTTTTCACACCTTGTACATATTATACCTGTCAATTATCAAAAAGAAATCTTTGAACTTGGTGTTATTCTGATACTCATTGTTTAAAATAGTGAATGGTGGCTTCTACACAATTTGTTCAAGACTATGCTCTTTGAACAAAACTTTAAATGCAGGTGTTTGTTTTGTTTTGATAGTTCTGTGTAGACAAGTGTGATGTCTACCATCAAATTGATGGAATTTAGAATAATCATGGAAACAAATCTCTGGAATATTTTTGAGGATACATATATTCATCTCTCTATACTTTCTGACTATGGAGCCAATGAGATCAGCTGCCTCAAGCTCAGTCATGACTTTGCCTCCATGGTGGATTATGTCCTTGAATTGTGAACTGGCAGCAAAAGTAAACCTTTGCCTCTTTAACTCTCTTTTGTCCATGTATTTTACCACAGCAAGAAGGCATGTGACTAAATGCATAAGGCTAGTTCAAGACCCAGACTGAAGGGAGCAGGCTCCCCTTCTAAACAGGTGAGTCATTGGTTTGTTGTGGCTTTGTATGCAGCGGCAGTAGGGTGTGTGTGTGTGTGTGTGTGTGTGTGTGTGTGTGTGTGTGTGTGTGTGTTTCCATGTTGGTTGAATATATTCATATATGTAGATTTCTATTAATAGGCTTACATCCAATGGCTTGCAAAACAGTTCAGTATTTTGCTCTGAAACCTCTACATTTGTCATGACTTCCTCATGTTAAAGGCCAGCCTTATCAGGTTACCAGGGTAATTTATGAAAAGATTCCTATGCAGCTACGCAGGCATCTGTATTTGCTCAATGAAATCATATCCATGCTTGCATCACTCAGGGGTCTCCCTGGAGACAGAGCCAATTGGGATGGGGATAAAGGGAAGGAGAGGGGAGGAGAAGGGACAGACGGAGAATGAACTGAATGTGGAGAATGTGGAGACTGAAAAGTTAAAATTGTGTGGCAAAGTAGCAGGCTGGAAACTCAGGTGAAATCTGATGTGCTTTAAGGAAGAATTCTTACTTCTAGAAATCTTTGTCTATTATTGCTCACAATTGATCAGATGATGTTTGTACACATTACCAAGGATATTAAACCCCATCAAAAACTGATTGCTTGTTAAGCATCAATCAGATCTACAAAGCACACAATAGCGACTAGGCTGTTGTTGAGTAAAACAGCTGGATATCATAGCTGTCTTTGTTCATTTGGAATACTATTACAAAAATAACAAACTGAGTCACTTATAAACAATACTAAAAATAATTTCTTACTGCTTCAGACTTTAGATATTGTGAAATAATCTTTTTGCATGCTGTGAAGATGTGTCACTCTGGTTGGTTTAATAGAAAGCTGAACAGCCAATAGCTAGGAAGGATTTCTGTACACAGGGGACTCTGGGGAGAATAAGGCAGAGATGCCAAAGAGACACAAAGCAAGCAGGATGGTATAGGCAGACTTTTCTCTCCCACCACCAGTTCCCAAATAATCAATACAGAGATTTAATATTAGTTATAAAGGCTGGGTTGATATCTCAGGCTTATCACTAATGAGTTCTTACAACTTAAACCATTTCTATTAATCTACATTCTGCCTCATGACATTACCTGTCTTTCATCTTGGACATCATGTTTCCTCCTGTGTCTGGCTTGGAACTCCTCTGACTCTCCCTTTCTTCCCAGAATCCTCTCTGTCCTGAAAATCCTACCTAGCTGTTGGTTAGTCAGCTTTTTATTAACAGTGAGAGAAACACATTTTCACAATGTATAGAAAGATTATTCCACAGAAGGACAGGAAATATGAAAATTATGTAATAAAGCTGTAAGATAGAAAGTAAATTAATAGAAATGGGCTAATTTATGTTACAAGAGCTAGATAGAAATAAGCCTGAACTAAGGCCGAGCTTTCATAACTAATATAAGTTCCCACGTTGTTTCTTGTGAGCTGGCAGCCCAAAGAAAACCCTGACTACATTTAGAGCCATTCACCATAGACATCTGCTGTGGGTTTACTTCTCATTTTAAGATGCTGGTTTTCTCTCTGCACATAGGGTCTTTTCTGTGAGTATGCTAACCCTACTTTTGAGAGACTGAATGACTTTGTGACTTAAAGCAACTTCTGGAAATTACAAATATTAACATAGTAACTTTGGGGATTGCATTATCAAATAGGAATTTGCAAAGATACCAAAATTCAGTCTCTGGTAACAACAGTCTAAGCAAAGAGACACAGGTCATAGACTATGGCATTATTTATTGTGGTGGGATAAGTAAACCCTAACTCACTGAAGAGATCATAATACTGATTATTACGAGTATGTTGTGAGGTGTTCTTAAGCACTGCTGCATGTTAAAATGTTTATTTATAGAAGTAACACCACCCATGTATTTTGCTTAAAACAGCTTCTGTGGTGGTTTTCCCTGGAAATTTATAATCTAAAAACACAGGCTATGTTAACAGTAGCAATGATGGCAGAAATTTTTTGATTTGGTATCAAAATATGCTCTTTCCCTTGTCTCCTACAGAGCTGTGTGAGGAAGAAAGCCCTCAGCAGAGTTATATGCACACAGATGATCAGTCACGAAGCAGCCCTTTTCCTTAAATGTGTTGTTTGATTAATCTGGAATATGGGCCAGAGAAATAAACCGTTACTTTCAGGCTAAGACTATAAAGGAGGAGGTTAGTTGTTCCACATCTCTTTTTTCCATATCTAGACAATGGAATTGCAGGGAACTGTGGTTTTGTACAATGGAAGGATCCTGTGTATTGAATTATTTTTGGAATTAAGCTATGGGAGGGAAATAGGTGCTACCAAGCACTTGGCTGAGCAAGAACAAGACATACTTGCATATTATGTCAACAGTTCTCCATTACTGGGAACCTGTAAAGCAAGAGTGTGTGCTAATCCACCAAAATCTTAGAATGACACTATTAGTCTAGACGAATACAAAACAGCAATGTGAATCTGGGAGATGCGCATGTGGATTCTGGGAGTAGAGGCTGACCCACCACAGACATCAGAGCTATGTGTGTATCTTTTCTTCTGATAACATCCAAGCAATGAAAAAAGGAGCAAGTGAGCTAAAACTCACAACAGAGATTTTTACATATAATTATATTAGACCCACATCTCAATTTGTAATCTAGAATGTAACAAAATGCTATTTATGGTATGAAAATAAGCCAGTTTCTAAAATCAGCTGGTATGTTTTCAGGATGAAGAATGGGCTAATCTAATGATGGCATGTTTAATTTCATTCAGGTTCCCACATAGATGATAATGCAAAGGTTGGGAGTTTATGTCTGCCTGAGATCAAAAGATGGATGTATGGGAATGATTCATGCATCAGTGTGGAACAAGAGGCACCAAGATCACTTCAGATGAGACTCAGCAGATCATTGTGCTGAAGCAAACAGACCAAGAACTGCAAATGTCACCCTGGGCATGGCGGTGATTCCATGACTTCTCTTTGCTTGATTAGAAATCTTAAGGGGAACCTGGAACGTTATGGTAAAGGACAAGTCACCCTTGTCGAAGAGACAAACAGAACAAAAACCTATGAAAAGTGAATTCTCCAGGGAGGCACTGTCATCTTGTTGGAAATGCATCTGGCGTCTGCTTGGTCTGGACATTAATATATACAGTCCCTGAGAGGTTTCATTTACTTGGGTAAAGGGAATAAAATGGTAAATTGAAAATGAGTAAAACCACACAATTGAATGAAATCTCATCTGATTTGCTAAAGGCTTAGGAATGAAATATGTATCAAAGCAAGTCTTCTATGTAGCCTATCTGGTAGGAATCTTAACTCTCTCACCAATTCTTGCTGCATCCCACTCTCCCAGCTGCCCCCTCTCCCCCATGCACATAGCATCATAAAAAGTGACATGTTCAGACTAAGCTTTGTTGCAGTCCATGTGTAGCCTAGGCAAGCTTGCATCTCCTGAAGCCCCCAACACCTGCTTTATAAAGCCGGCCTTACTGAGGTTTAGGGTATCACATTCCCTATAACAGGAGTATGAAAGAGGCCAAAGATCAGCCTTTCCATTCAGGACTAATGTTTTCAGTGGGCCTCTTCATGTCTTCCTAGAAGCCCTCACTCTTGACTCCTGTGAACACAGATGCCTGTGTTCTACAATATCTATCATGTAATAACAACTGGCATGAGGAATACTTCTCTTTCCACCTGATAAACAAATACAGTAGGTCTGGGGATATAACTCAGTGGTAGAGTTCTTGCTGTGGGAGGTCCTGGGTTCAAGTCCCAGCACCAGAAAAAGAAAACCATAAAAACAAGAAGCTCAATAGAATTCCAGTATTTCTGCTTACCTTTTTCTTTTCTTTTCTTTTCTTTTCTTTTTTTTTTTTTGGTTTTATGAGACAGGGTTTCTCTGTATTGTTTTGGAGGCTGTCGGTCCAGCCTGGCCTCTAACTCACAGAGATCCACCTGCCTCTACCTCCTGAGTGCTGGGATTAAAGGCGCGTGCCACCACCACCCGGCCCGCTTACCTTTTTCTATCACACATTCTTACACCCTCAGTCCTGAAGCCTATTCCTAATCCTACTCTCCTTCTTTCCTTCCTACCTTCCTTCCTTCCCTCTTTCCTTTTTCTCTCCATTTTCTCTCTTTCTTCTATCTCTTCCCTTTATTTCTTCCTTCCCTCCTTCTCTCCCTCCTTCTTCCTTCTCTAGATTCTCCATTCCTTTTAATTTCCTTACCTCTTTATTCATCATTTCTGTTTTTCAAAAAGCAATTATTTTAAAATGCATATGTATTATGTTTTAAGTCTGATAGATGAAAACACAGTAATAAGTTCAAAAAGCCTTACATATTTCTAAGGCTTTGCATCCAGATTCAGTATTTATAGGTAATCCATAATGTGAAAATATTTGAATTTTCTTCATTTCATGAGTAGACATCCATATTTAGATCGGTGACTTGTTCAAGTTATCATGGATAATAAAATGCAAGAGACAAAGTTTGTTCCAATTGACTCTACAAAACATGATTTATTGATCCAAGCATAGTGATAAGACTATAGATGTTAGAGATACAGCAATGACATGACAGAACAGTCATTATTTTCTAGTTATAGACTTTAATTTCACATGCACATCAAGGAGACATTATACAGAGGTTAAGCAGACAAAGGTGGTCAGCCCCAGTGATGCAGGCCTGTAATCCTAGTTGTTCCAGAGGCTGATTTAGTAGATAAAAATTCAAGACCAACCTGAGTCAGCATTCTAGACAAGCCTGGGTTAGACAACTAGACACTGTGTCAAAGTAAAGAGTTAAATAAGGACTGGGGATATAGCTCAGTGGTAGAGGACCTGCCTACCCCAGATATAGCCTCTGAGTTTAACACTCAATGTCACACACACAGAGAAGACATGGGAGAGATTTCTCAAAACTGTTGCAATAGAGGAGAAGAAGTGACCTCTTCTCCTCCCAACATACGCAATTATACAATTTTCAAGTACTGAGAAGAACCAAAGGACATTAGAGGGACAATGTTATCATGGCATTCCCATTAGCTAGCTGTCACTTATTGAATTGGAATTTTACAGAGCTTGGGATATAGGACACAAACTTTTTTGATCATCACCTTATAAAGGAATGTCTTCCAAGTTGCTGTGAAAGGCTCCTGGTTATTTAATCAGTGGAAGCCTAGAGATCATTGCTTTAAGAAAATGGAAGGGAGATTCCTTAGTCTGGAAGAAAGTTGCCTAAAGTTTATTCAAGTTATGAAGAAAATTAAGGCCATCCTGATTGGGACAGAGGCAAGAATACATTATTGGATTACACCAGGCATCCTGTAGAAACTGGAGTAATGTTGATGCTACATTGCATGATATACATGAACTATACAGATCTTGGGAACCCTTACTGTGATTCATAAAGTTACAACATAGAATTAGGGAAACATCTAATACAAATAACATAACTACAGGTGTGGTCTTTTCTAAAGATTTGCTGCAGGCTAGACGGGATGGTCTAATCGGGGATCTGCTTGTCGTTCTTCCCAGAGCCCATGATTAACTCTGATTCACAGAATGTCCTGCTGTTGATTGCCTCAATCATCTTCCCATTTATTGAATCTTCTGGCCTTTTCAATTTGAACGTCTCGTTATAACTGCTTCTTTCACTGTGTCCTTCCACTGGACATTGGATCCATGGTGCCACCCATGCTAAAGTAACACCGCGTTGTATTCCCAGGACACCTTTACTTTTCTATTTTGTGAAAGGCTTCCTCTACTTTTCCCAGGATAGCCTAAAACTTGCTATGTCCTAAAACGGGTGAGTCACAAAATTCACAATCTTCTTGCCTCATCCTCTTGGGTAGCTTGCAGAGACAGCTTCTTATTCTCCTGAGAGAGAACACCCGCATTCTCTGGACTTCTTATCCACACCCCTTTCAAGTATAGCTTTGTTTTTGAGAGACTTAAAAATTAGTGCATGCACTGTTCCTTCTTGCTGAGTATTTCTGTAGGTGCAAAAAGAAATTTTCAGGACCACGGACAACATCATTCCTCTTGAACAATCTCTGGGACAACTAGTAACAAACATCTCCAACAGGAAGCCTCTTTCTACTGATTATGCTACACTATTATGTTTACATCCTGGCAGAAGCATTATAAAGCCCCTGTCATTTACAGATAAAGCTGAGGCTTAAAGATTCTTGTTCAGGCAGCCTAAGTATTAAGCAGGAGTGCTGATTAGAACATAGGTCACTGCTCTATTCTAGCCTCTAGTCTTGGTAGTGTTATTTCCATTGTTGTGTTTTAAAATGAACCAATCTGCTTTCCTATGGATAAGGGGTTGAATCTAAGTTCTGTGGCTATCTTTTTTCCACAGAAAGCATGGGCGTTTTCAGATATCAGACTGAAACCTGATAAATATTACTCTGCCCTAATGTAGAATATTAACTGTTTTAGTTTGTTTCCATTAACCTTATATATTTGATTAAAATTATAATTAAAATACATCATGGAACTTTCCTTCACATTCACCCATCCTCTCCTTTGTGTACCTGTGGTTCCAGCATCCATAATCCAGTAATCCACAATCTGGTGTGCTTCAAAACAGAGAAATTTTTAAGCATCAGCATGATTTTTCAAGCTATAAGCTCTATGAAATGATGTTCCATGCACAATTTTGTTTAAAATACTGTATAAAATTACCTCCAGATTCTACATACAATGTGTAATATGAAGCATATGTTGTGTTTACACTTGGATCAAGTCAAAAGACACCTTACTATATACGTGTAAATATGACAAAACTAAAAAATTCTGAAATTCAAAACACTTGTGTTTATGAGAAATTTACATAAGGGACTTTATGGTGTTTTTAAATAGCAAATGGCCTTTATAGGCCCATAGGGATTAAGACTATCAGGAGGTTTGGTCAAGTTGGAGTAGGTGTTTCTTGTTGGAAGAAGTGTGTCACTGGGGAGGGGCCTTTGAGGTCTTAGATGCTCAAGGTAGGCCCAGCTTGGCTCACTGTCTCATCCTGTTGCTTGCAGATAAAGATGTTGAACTCTCAGCTCCTTCTCCAGCATCATATCTGCCTGTATTCCACTGCTGCCATGACAAGAAAAGGCTAAACTGCTAAACTGTAAGCAAGCCACCCCAATTAAATGTTTTCCTTTATAAGAGTTGCAATGGTCATGGTGTCTCTTCACAGAAATAGAAACCCTAAGACAGCTACTAAAATAATGTTCTTAATTGTACCATGAGGCTTACTCTAGTTCCTGGCTCAGGAAACAACAGTTATCTAAGCCACATCTTTTTCTCAAAGTAGAATTTATTATGGATATTTGAGAAAATTCAAATCATATCTTCTAAAGAAAAGTGATGTCTGTGACATGAAAACCTGATCACTTGTCTGACTGTGGACCAGGGCCATACCTGTGTAGGTGTGGACCCACAGTGTACATGGAGTTGCACTGCAGCTGCTGTATTTCTGGGACTCTTTTGTCATGCTGCTTCAGTGAGCCTATAGAGACTGTAAGCCAGTTTTGTCACCATGAGCTTGATCCTGCTTAAGGTCAGGAGAGAGATGTGAGGTCTTTATGGTATCCTCACAGTAACACTGCCTCCTATCAAAGCTGTGTGTTTGAAAGAATGGAGGATGGGTTCACTCATAAATCATACTTCATATAATAGAATCATAAACTCCCAGGGAGACAGGACCATAAAAGACAACACAGTACAATCATTGTGGAAGTTCAAAACGGTGTAATGATCACTGAGAGATGAGTCCTGGGTCACATCCTGAGTCCTCAAGAGAACCTCCTAAATATTTCTAAGGTAGCTATGCCTGAAACTCGAGGAGAATTTCATTACATGGTGAAATGATGCAGCTACCTTTGAGAATTACCAAAGGACATGTGATTCCTCAATGATTTCTTTAGTCACAGTAGTCTGGGGAAAACCTAACCAGATGTTAACGATCATAGATTAAAAAGCTTTCTGTATTCAGCTAAGTGGGTGGATGGCAACTTAATTTGATTTTACCTCATGCAGACATTCTGTGGCTATATCCCTGGGGAGAGGCACAAGGACAGGACTGGACCACCAGAGACAGCTGCTGTGTGGCAGATGCCCTTTCCTTTTCTGAGTGATGGGATTCGGATATCAGTTTTTTAGGAGTGATGGTAATTTACAGTTCTCCGGTCGGGATACCCACCTTT